TATTTTCAGGCAAAACCCCACGTTCCCACGGGTCGGGTAGGTCGGAGCCGCTTCGCTTTTGTTCCTCCGCTGTGGGATCTCGCGCGCCGGGGGCTGGCGGGGGGTTCGGGGTGTGTGAAGTTGTCCTCCTCCTTGTCCCCCCGTAGAAAAACGCCCCACGTGCAGCACCCGGTCTCAGCTAGAGCTGGAGATGGACGCGGATAAGGGGAAGCAACGCCAGTACTCGCAGAGGTGGGCATGATGGCTGGATGGAGGGGGATCACAGGGAGGAAAAAGAAAAAAGAAAAAAACAAAAAAAACCAAAAAAACGCTGCTTTTGTACGTTTACAGCTTAAAATAGCAGCTAATGCAACGGTGTGCATGCATGGGGTTATGTGTGTGTGCTTGTGGAAATAATATGTATGTGCACACCAGAATGCAGGTATTATATGTGTGTGTGTATATTTCTATATAAGTGGGGGTATGGTGTTTTTTGGGGGTGTTTTGGGGGTGTGAGGGACTCCTTGCTTACCCACTCTGCAGTGAGGGGACCCCGCTCCCAGCTTATGTGTGACCCCCTTGATATTTCCCTTTTAAGTGATGTGCCTTTATATGCATAAAATAATAACGTTCACCCTCAACCCCCCCACACCTTCTGCTTTTTCCCTTAAAAATGTGGATTTTTGGTCGTTGGGCGCGATGTCAGGACAAGTGCATGTTGGATTCGGTGCTCTCACTCCCTCCTCAGGGTGATCCCCTGCCTGTGCCTCGGTTTCCCTGCGTGCTGTCACCCAGGAGTGACCCCCCTGTGCTGCTGGGGGTGGGCATTGGCCCCAGGCTGGTTTGTGGCGCTGCCTTTGCCTTGCAGGGTGCCTGGCTGGTCTCTTTTGGGGGGGTGTGGGTGTGTTTGAGGTTTGGGGGAGCAGGGCCCCCTCAGGCTGGGGAGTGGTGTTGTTTTGTGGGGCATCAGTGCCCTGTGTCTGCTGTGTCACCTCGTGGGCTCTGGGTCTCCCTGTGGGCTGTCCCTGTGTCCCCTCTGCTGGGTCACTGGACCCAAACTGTGGATTTGGGGTCACACCGCCTCGGCCCCCATCTTCTGGGAGTGTTGCCACCCTGGTTTCCCCCTCCTCCACCCCTGAGTTGGGGTCTCCAGCGTGGCTTTGCCTCCCCTCCCGCTCACCACTGGTGCTTGGTTCCTCACCCTGCCCCGTGCACCCCTTTTCCTGCGCGGGGACCCCCGGTCCGGGCTGGGGGCTCGTTTTGGGTTGGTTTTGCTGGAAATGCAGAAGGAGAAGCCCCAGCCCAGGGCCCTTCGGGGGGCGGAAGCCGGGGGTTTAATTGGTTCCATCTTGGGTGAATTCTTGTGGCGTGCAGGCCACCCCCTCCCCGAGCCACAGGGGGCTCGCCCGCCGTTGCTGCTTGGCTGCCATGCCTGCCTCTGCCCCCTTCGCCTTGGGGTGAGTCCCTCTGGGCAGGAGGGATGTGCGTTCCCTGAGCATGGTGCTAGGTGCTGGTTGGCTTCGGGATGCAGGTTTTGTGGATGGGCACTTGCTTTCCCTCCAAAACTCCTCCTGCTCCAGGTGAACCCCAGGGAAACTTGTTCTTAAAGAGGGGACAGCGACCACGGCCTTGTGTTTGGGGGGGAAACTGAGGCACGGTGGAAGGCAGAGCTGGGTTCCCCGGCCCAGGGAGCATCCCTGGTGTGTGTGGGCTGTGTTGGGAAGGACGTGCTGGGGTTGGTGGGGAGCGCTCAGGGTACATCCATGCCCCGGCTCGGTTCTCCCCCGTGCGCCGTCTGTGGCCGCCGCCGGCTCTCCTGCACTCGCCGCTTGCCATGGGGGTGGGACCTGTGCCCTGATGCTCTTGCTGGGACACTTGGGGACACCAAACTCGCTGTCTTGCTCGGTCGAGGACACATTTAGCTACCAAGTGCTGCTCTGATCACCCCAAATCCCTCCCCTCTCCTCCCAGACCCCCCCCCACTTTCAGGCTGTACCAGGTTGGTGGTCGCTCACCGGTCCCTGGGAGCTGCCCCTTTTCTCCCGGCGGTGGCGTGAAAAGAAATCTCTTGTTTCTTTTTATTTCAGCGAAGGCGAGACAGAGAGGGCTGCCAAGGTAGAGGCGTTCCCTAGAGAACTGTAGCTTGACTTAGCGGCAGTTGGGTAGGAAGTTGGAAGGCTCTAGTGAGCTCGTGCCCACCCGTGCCATCATCTACCTCCCATCAATCTGGAGCCTCAGCGACACGTCTCCCCAGGCAGCTGCGCCCACCTGGCTCCAGAGGCCACCCTGTGAGTACCAACCACCGACCCCGACAGCCCCGGCATTGCTGCCACCGCCCCCGCTGTCCCCTCGCCACCACCCCCAGCCCTGGCTTGCCGGCTTCTCCCGCTCTTCCCTCCCCGTGGGTGCGCAGGCCAGCAGGATTTTGGTCTCTTTTTAGGGTGCTGCTGCTGCTGCTTCCCCTCCTTGGCCCGGCTGAGCGGTGATGCCGGGTGCTGTGTGCTGTTCTGGGGAGTTTGGGTTTCAGCCCCGTGGTTTTGGGGCTCTGTGCATCTTTGCTGCTTTGCTCTTCCCACATCCCTCTCTTCTGGCTGGGCTGCTTGGGTCTCCACCATGCTTTGGGCACCCACCTTGTCTCTAGGGATGACCTTTGGCAACCCCTCAGCAGCCAAATCTGGTGCCTGTGGAGGATGTCAGGGGCTCTTCCCACCATGGTTTGGACCACAGGACCCCACGCCACTGGAGATGTTACCCAAGAGATGCCCAGCCAAAAAAACTGGGGGGGGCACAGAGAGCCCCACCACCCCCCGTGCCCTGCAGAGCTGGGGGGAGACGTGCCGCAGCATTCCCTACCCTTCATCATTTCCATTTTAATGGATTTTCTTTTTTTTTTCCACCTTTGCTGCATGTCAGCTTCCATTTTTCATAGTTAGCTGAGAATAGAGAAAAAGGGAGTTTTTATATATATATATATATACTTTTTTTTCCATCTGCCTTCTTCCCCCTCCCACTCCGTTTCCCAGCCCCAGAGAAGGGGACGCCGCTCCCGACAGAGAAACACTGCACAATTTGTAACATTAAATCGGGACAGGAACAGGGATTTTTAGAATTATTTTGGCAACGCCGACCATTTCTTCCCTCTTGTTCATCCAGCTCCGAGTGTGGTGGTTTTGCAAATAATTTCTCATTTCTTTAGTAAGCCCTCCTCAGGTGGGGGTGGGGAAACACGTGATATTTGTGCTTTTCTCCCCAGAATACCCTTTGTGCCTCTCCAGCTTTGCAGGAGGGATTTTGGGACTGGTGTAGGGTTGGTGCTGTGTCCTGGTGATGGTTTGGTGGCCACGCTGGTGGCTTTGATCTGTCTGGGTGCTGCTGCTGCTGCTGGCTCCACTGGAGCCCAGCATGCTGTCGGGACAGGGAGAAGGATGGACAGATGGACGGATGGGAAGGACAGAGGTCACGGGGCACCTGCTGAGATGGGGGATCAGCTCCAAAAAACCCTTTTCTAATCATAGCTCCAGCTTCCTGTTTTCCCACGGCTGCTCCGGGTTGGGTGGGGGATTGCTGCCGGGGTGCTTGCTCATGCCCGGGGGGCTCAGAGCCCTCCTGCTCCCTGCCTGTCTCTGTACAAGGGATTCCCTGCTGCCAGCTCTGCTTTTCTCCCTGGTTCCCAGTGTCCAGCCCCTCATGCTGGCACTGGCATCCCTCACCCCGTGCCCATCATCCCAAGAGATCTATATGTGTGTATATATACACACACAACCCGTAGCCAGTGGGTAAATGCACGCTGTGGGCGGCCTGTGGGTACATATATAATTACACAAAGGAGCTGGCAGCGGCTGCATCCGTGCTTGGGAAGGTGCATTTAAACATCCCCAGTGAATTCCTGTTCTGTGGCTCCCCCTGTGCCGCTGGGATCCGGACCTGCTCTCACTTCCAAACCCTAAAATTCGGTGCTTGAGCAGTGGGAGGTGACCTGGAGTGGTTCAAGACTTGGGAAGGGGCATTCCCAGAGCTGAGGCCTGGGTGGTGTCATGGACAGTCTGTGGTGTTGAGAAATTGCTGCCATTCCTTGATAGCCCGGAACGCACCTCGTCCTGTGCCAGGCTGCTCTGTGGCACAAGGGGCAGGTGGTTCCTCCCTCCCTGCCTTGGTTTCCTCCCCAAAATGGGCATGGTCCATGCCACAGCTTCTCAGGGTAGCTGCTGGGATGTTACATTCTGGTGGGATTCCCTTTCTCTGCCTGCTGCCCACCTGCCTGTGGGGAGATCAGAGTGTGTGTGGACCCTGGGGCAGCAAGTGTGAGGAGGAAGAGGAGGAAGGCTCATCATCCCCAAATCCTGCCACCCCCAGAGCTTCTGGGGATGCACTTTGCTGGAGGCATTGCTCTAGTTTCTCCTGGATTCCTGGCCATGGCCTGGTTTATTTTGGAGCCAGAGCTCCTGGGGGACTCCTTCCCATACATCCCATCAGGATCCTACAGATGCTTACCCTCATGCCCCATAATGGGATTTGCTGGGGTGGTGATGCCTGGTGATGCTTTGGGCTGCTCTGCTGGGATCATCCTCTTGCTGCCTCCTTCCAAAGATGGATTTAGGATGAGTTTTCCCAACACCTTCAAGCGTCTCCATAAATCTCCCAGCCCTGCTGGTTCCTGGTGTTCTGTTGAGCTGCTCCTGGGTGTCACAGGCACTTCACTTGGCTTTGGAGGGGGATTTTAGGGGGATTCAGCTGGGATTGCTGTTGGGTTCAATGTGCTGCTGTGCTCACCCTCTCCCATGGCTGTGTCCCATCCTCCTCCAGTCCCTTCCTGGATGGGACAAATACTTCCAGAGCTTGGGAGACGTAGGGGTTTTCCCCAAATTTCAGCTTCCTCTTTTTCCAAATAGCGTCCTAGTGCACTCACCAGTGTTTTGTGGCCTTTGGGCAGGCAGGTGCTTGGTGTCCCCCTGATCCCAAAGGAATTTTCATCAGGGAAGATGCTCAGGGGGGGTTCCCCAGTCCTGCCCCCCTCGCCAGCTCCCTGCCTTTGCTCAGAGTCTGGGTCCTGCTTCTTGGGGGGGTGATGGTTTGTTTGGGGGGTTCAAGGTGGAAGGGCAGGGGGATGATGTCCCATAACCACCCCCTCTCTCCCCAGGATGGCGGAGCCTCGCTTCAACAACCCCTACTTCTGGCCGCCCCCGCCCACCATGCCCAGCCAGGTAGGACCCCTGCGCTGGGATTCTGAGGGGAGGGAGGGTGAATGGGTGTGGAGAACCCTGAGGGGGAGGCTGGGAGTGCCAGGGATCCCAGCTCCTCTGCCCTCACCCACCTGCGTGCCTTCTCCCCCCTCAGCTGGACAACCTGGTCCTGATCAACAAAATCAAGGAGCAGTTGATGGCGGAGAAGATCCGCCCCCCTCACCTGCCTCCCACCTCGGTGGCCTCGCAGCAGCCCCTCCTGGTGCCCCCCTCTCCTGCTGAGAGCAGCCAGTCCATCATGTCCCTGCCAAAGCTGCAGCAGGTGCCA